CAAGTTACCTTTGCCTGGTCAGCCCAGAGGTAGAGCAGTACGTCAATACGTGCATGCCTGGGACTTCTGCAGTGTGAAAGGTCTTTTACCCAAGTGTGTGAGGAATGACAGCATAGCTGTGACTCCATCTAATCCACCAGCCAACAGAACCTATGTCCTCCACAGTAGGGCACACTCAAAAAAAATCTTTTGCCTGCATAGGGAAACAAACGAGAATCCTGAACACAGGTGACTTCAGCCATTTTCCTGTCTCTTCTCACCACCTTCCTAATCCCAGTCCTCTCCAAGTCTTCTGCACCCACTTCACATCCTGGCAAAGGCTGAGTTTCACAGGCACTGCTGAAAGCAGCTGACAGGCACTGGCTTGCTTATGCAGTATGGTATTCTGCCTCTGCCCTGGACAGTACGGCCAGATCTTGACTGATCACAAACAGGAGGTGAAATTCAAGGTAAGTCTTCCTTGGGGAAAAAAATCCCTCACCCTCTACTTGGGTAACTGTGTGAGAACTCGCATAAAACACATTCAGATAAACAAAAGAACCACTACCAAGAGCCAACAGTTGAAAAATGGTTAATTTTTTTTATAACCCATTATTAATTATAAATGTAAGATACAGCCCACATCAGCAAGTTCTGAATGGACAGCCTCACATTTTCTTTCAAAACAGTGAGCGCTAGAGACAAGATACAGAATTAACTGAGGGTTCTGGCATGACTGCAGGTGTGTCACAGAACGGGCACTTGTGAGCACAGAGTCAAGAATATCTTCAAAGTCAGAGAAGACCATAGGTCCTCCAGTGGCTAAACAGGAGGGGATTTGTGAACAGATTCCTTGCCCAGAAAAGACTGAAACAGTCTAGTCAAGATGAACTGAGCCAGAGCAGCAGAACCACTAGAAGTCCCACCTCACCAGTTTTTGAGTTGAAGAAAAACATGGCTACAGCCATCAACATTTTAAGTCTGTTTCTTCAGGTTTGGACTTTTTCTTGGCTGCTTCTTTGGTCTCTGCACCGCATTCTTAACGCTGGCAGGCGGCAGTCTGAGAGTTATTTCATTGTCCTCTGCGTTGTCATCTGCCTGGGAAGCTTTCCGGCGCTCAAGCATTGTTGGAGTACAGACTGGAGTAGGATCCTGAAGAGATCAGAAAAAACACGATTCATTGCAAAGCATCTGCCAGAGAAAAGTTGTCACCGCCTCTGTGGTATTACAAGGCGCCTCAGTCCAGCTCTCCTTCAGAACTTCCACATGTTAGGGAAAATTGGTTTTATAACTCTAGCTGGTTTTATAGATGGTATTTCTTCAGACAAAAGTGTCATCTTCAAAAAAGTGTATGTGAAAGGCAAATGTAAATTAATTTACATTTTCTAACATGTCACTAGGTACATTTGCTTTCTAAACTTTGTATTTCCTGACTCAGAGCACTAAGAAAGCCAAGAGGAAAAGAATCAGGAAAAAGGTAATATATTTGAGACTGGCTTACAGAAATGCCACATTTACGCCCCTAGTAGAGGTGCAACAGCCCAGTTTCATTATCTCAGTGGGTTCTCAGAAGTCAGTTGACTGAATGTATGAGTTATCCTATCTTGCTCAGAACCAGCCCTGTCCAAATTATCACTAATAAATCCAGTAACATTAAAAAAACCCAAAACCAAACTCACAGCAGTGATGAAACAAAACAGAAATGTTAAATACCTGTCTTTTCAGACTGTCAGTGCTCCAAATCTCATTACTGATAACCTGAGCTTTCCTTTCATCCTACTGCTAGTTTTAACTGGCATTAGTTTTCAAAATGCTGGAATACCATGCCTGGAGAGCATGAGGGAGCAGGGACAGTATAATATACAAATGGGGACAAACAGCATTAGACTGTATTAATGGTTCACCTTCCTTTCTGCCAAAACCAGCTGGTATTATAGGGTAGCCCAGACCAACACAAGGATGCCAGCAAGGAGATAATTTCATACCAGTTTGAAGCACAGATGTAGGTGGTGTATAGACAACTGTCCCCAGCATCCTGTGTTTCTCCTGCCTCGAGTTAGCAAATAGCAGAAGCCGAAAGACACATCGCTGCCCAGACACACCTCGGGACAAGCACTGCTAGTTACAAGATGCTGAGCAGAAGCCTTTGCTACTAAATACTCCCATAGGAGAAAGAAATGAGAGGATCCAACCACCCTTCCACACTCAAGAGTATGAGAAAAAAAGAGTTGCAGACTTTAAACACCTGCCTCAGCGTGAATAGTGGAGCGTGGTGTTGGGCACCACTAGGACTGTTTGGTCTTACCTGGCTGCTCAAAGAAGTGTTCAGTTTTGACTTCTTGGATGTTTTAACTTTTTTCCCCTTTATGGAAAGCTCCTGTGCAGCCTAGGAAGCAAGACAGATCAGGTGGATCACTACAAACTTCTTGGTGTGAAGACAAACAGTCACTTAACAGTCTATAGGATTATTTGCTTCATAACTACAAAATCTTTGCTACAACAGTTAGGTTTGAATTAATAAAATGACTTAAAGTGCCCCAGAGGTGATCAGGATTGAATAAAAACACCCAAAGCAGCATAAGAAAAGCAGACACTGTGCATTTAAAAAAAATACCATGTTAATCAGCATTGCTTAAAATTCAAATGCTTCACCCGAGCACTCTGCAAATGAGCACTACGCTTGGTGAGCGTAGGAAGGATCTGTGATGGAAGATCTAGTCTTGGGACCTGCCTTCAAATACCTGTCCCACCAAAGCTTCCCACAGGGCTTGGGAAAAGCTCCTGATGCTCTTCTGTGCTCTGCAGACAAATATTGAAACCACAGAATATCCACTTGCTATGCTAACAGAAGAAAATGTCTTCCCTTTGCTGCTACTATTTGCTTCTCATAAATTAAACTCATGTACATATGATACAACCCAGCAACAGCACTACACTAATTTCCAGGAGCTTCTATACAGTTAACGCAAGTAAGCCTCCCTGGTGCTCCAGCTCTTTTAGCAGTTCCACACAAAACATGCTATTTTCTTGTATTTAGCACACAGAAATGTTTTCATAAAACAGCCACCGTAACAATACCAAACTTACAAATCCTGGGAAGTCATAATCGAGGCCCTTTGCAGCCAGCCTCTTCCGTAAAAGTTTCTCCTTCCGCAGCAGTCGCTTTGTCATCTTTGCCTTCTGAACAAGTGAACGTATCTTATTGTACCGCCTGACAGCTGGCTGAGAAGGCTTCAGAAATAGTCTGTTACTGTTTTTGAAGAGGTTTTCATGGACCCTTTCAGGAGACATGAACTGACCTGTATCAGAAAAACATGACATCAAGATACAGCAGAGCTACTCTTCTCACCAAATGCCCTGAGAATCACATTCTCAACAAATCTGCAGAGAATGTGTTGAAATGTTGTGATCAGATAATGCTATTCAGTTCCTGTTATAATATTATCCACTGCTATAGCAGAGCACTAGTTTTATGAACAGAGAAAATGGAAAGTAACAAAATACTCATTAGTAAGAGAACTGATAATGGATAGATGGATGGAACACTTTTTCAGTTTCACCTGGAAAACAGAGAAACTTGTTTTTTGAAAGTTAATGAGTATATAGCTCACAATCCTTTATAAAGCAAGTATTGCTATCACTGTGTCTGAGAAGCTTGTTAATCTCATTAATCTTTCAATCACAAAAGTTCCTCTAACTAAAGAGACGGCAGCTGCAACAGTTATAAATCACAAATAATTTCCACAGCAAACCCCACTGCTCCCTGAGAGTTCATATCACAGGATTACACAACAAGGATTATCAGCCTGAAGGAGAAAAAAAAGGTAGTAGTGAACAAAAGAGTGCTGGGGATGTTCTTTACACATAAAAAAAAAGCAAGAAAAACTCAGCCCCACAGAAAATCCTTTCGGGAAAGAACTTAATTAAAAAAACCACAGAGATTCTCCAAACAGTCCAAAAAAATAATACCAATAAGTATGAATTTCCTTTGCATGTTAGAGGACTTACATTTCAGATTATACTTACACTTCAGCAGTCTTTCACAAAACAGGTAGTTGTTCATTGTGTCTGCAACAATCTTAGCCACATCATCAGACTCAAACTCTATAAATGCATAGCCTTTGCTACCTCCAGTCTGCAAGCAACAACGGAAAGAAATCTGAAATGATGCTTTGATACCTGAAGAACTAAATTAATTTTATTCTTCTAAAGTCATAGCCCATTCTCAGCTAAATATAAGTAATTTCATAAAGTTCACAAATCATGAAATGCACCATATTTAGTCCTAAACTAGTAAAATCATATTTGTAAATATATATTTGCATATGAAATAAACTACTCGCCAAGCACCTATTTTGTTAAAAAAAAAAAAAAGAAGCTGCCCTGCATTGCTGTTGTTACCGACTGTATACAGCACTATAATGCAATGATAAATTGAGAATTGAGAAGTTAAATTTATTGAGCACAAAGCAACAAGAAAACTAAACCAGAGTCTTTTTCACGACACTTCATGCTCTACCTTTAACTAGTGTATTCTAGTAACACTTCTCACAAAAATGTATTTACTTATGGAAAAAAAGGGGCTACGCTAACTGTCGCTGAAACTACTTATTTGCAGTCACCGAAAGGTTTGGGTTGGAGGGGACCTGTAAAGATTACCGCCACCAGTAAGAGCAGGAAGCAAACTGGGAAGTTGAGTTAAGCGCCCGGGTCCGTCGGCGAGGGGCGGAGGCCCAGCGGCCAGGCTCAGAGCTTTACCTTCTTGCTCCTCGAGAGCCGGAGCCGCTTCACCGTCCCGAACTGCTCGAAGTAGGCGTAGATCTGCGGCTCGCAGAGCCCCCGCGGAAGGTGCCCCACATACACCACGCCCGGCGTCAGCTCCTCCTGCGGGGCACAAGGCAGCTGCGTCAGGCCGAGCCGGGCCGGGCCACCCCCGCCCGCGACAGAGCCCCGCTC